ATGCCAGCTTGTGCCCCTAGCATTCACCAGCACCAAAACACAGCCTGGAGTGAATACCTTTTAATTGGGTTTAGATTTTTCTTAAACACAGACTTCTCACCTGTTTACATTTTACACACACAAGAAAAATCTATCAATTTGGGTCTAAAGTTTTTCTTTCCCCAAATATTGAAATTAAAGATTATCCTAATGGAAGTTCACACTTATACTAATTTTTGTCTTCATACTCTTTTTCCATTCTCACTACACTATTCTGCCCGCAACTTGGGACTATTTATACAAATAAAGAAGGAAAGAGGGCATTCACTGAATTGACTGATTACACATGACGCCTTTCAGCTTATGTCAAACTCTGGACATCAGGGTAAAAACATGGATGTGCTATTTGGCATCCTATAGCGGTCCACACTAGAGGAGATCACCAAAAAACAAGCCCTCAGAACTGGAAGAACAGACTAGCCTCACCTGCCAGTATCTTAGACCGCTTTTCCTCAGGTTTTCTATTTAAAAGATTAAAGCGTAATATGATGCATGGCCTGGACCGTTTCTTGTGAACTATCACTGCGTGTCAAACCCACCAGCAGTTTCACTGCCAGGATGCTGTCACGTTCAGCAGCATGGCTCACGCTGTGGAATTTCCCAGACAATTTGTCCATTAACCAGATTAAGCACCTTAGGAAAGTCTCCTCAGAACAGATTGGCTTTGGCTGCTTAAGGGACACTGCAAAACCAGCCTCTGACCTAGGGTTAGCATTTTTCACATCAGTGCTAAAAATAAAGAAAGGTAGGGGGGCGGAAAAAAAGGATTACACTTCAAGTGTAATAAAGAGGGCCAAAATAAACTTTAAAAATCATTTGATTAAGCTTACTATGTCTTCTAAGAAGTATCTGGGCAAACTTTATCCCATTTAAACTAGTTTTTAACAAAATATTGAAATTAATTACACTCCTAAGTATCTTTAAAAGAAAAATAAAGATAATAGTATTTTCTTAAGTTGTCTATGTTTGCTTTTTAGTCATGCAATGTGACTTCACTGCAAAGTATTGTATCAGTAATTTTAATTCCACAAATCTAGGAAAAAACAGAGAAAAACCCCACACCATAAATTTGTCTTTCCTCACAAAGCATTTTCTTTTTCAGGCTACTGTCCTCATTCTGTTGTGAAGCATTCACCTGCTTAAAACATTTTATCAAAACCAAATTGTTAGTGGAAGAAGAGAAGTGTGACTAGGAGCAAAGAGATAAGAGGCAAAGATAGCCAGGAAGAAACAGCAGATTAAATGTGACAGACAAGTTCAGGGAGATAATTCCCATTTCATTTCTGATCTAGGGAACTGTCACTGAAGAGCGAACGAAAAACAAAAACTCCCCCAAACCAACCGCTACCACACAGCAACAACAACTTGCTTTCGGCAAGGCAGAAAATGATAGATAATTTTTTTTTTTTTTTAACTATTAACTGAATATTGGGTGCTCCCACCACCACCTTAAGCTCTGCCTCTTCCCTTCCCCTCACCTCTGACAATTTTATAAAAAAAGGGGAAAGAAGTCCTGTGCATGAATGGGAACAGATACTGCTATCCGACGATACAAATCACCGTTTCTAACTTCCCCGCTCACTACCCACTTTGGCTGCGGGTCGAGTGCCTCAGCAATAGGATGCTGTTAGGAAGCAACAACGCCTCGCAGCCACGCGTATACTGTTTGGACAGGTCCCCACAGCCCCACGACAACTGCAAAGAGTATCAAGCCTCTGTAGCAGAAGAGATCTTCTTTGAAGTTTTGCTAAACATCTTTATCTTAGAAAAATATAAGCTTATTATTTCAAATTTTGAACTGTAAAAGCTTGTGTTGCACCACGGGCCCTACGCTAAAGCAGGTGCTGTGGCAACACATTCAACTCAGCAGGTAAAGGAACAGAAATACTGGTGTATTTGGTGAGACATGCCCCAAAAGTGAATGTCTGGGAAAAAAACCCTACCTCTGCGGGCTATTCTGTGAAACCCTACAGTTAGCACTTCTCTGACAAGAATCGCAAATCCAAAGGAAGAACAGTACACCTTTAATTCCCCAAAGCTGGGTCTTCTTTCCTCCCTGAGGCACAAGGCTGGACCAGGGCAGAACTGGGGACCCAATTTCTGCCTGCTAAGCAGCAGCGTCAACTAAACATCCAAAAGCCCACAGATCTTTGTAGAGCTAGAGACCACTTCCAGCAGCATTCTGATCTAGGGAACTGTCACTGAAGAGCGAACGAAAAACAAAAACCCCCCCAAACCAACCGCTACCACACAGCAACAACAACTTGCTTTCGGCAAGGCAGAAAATGATAGATAATTTTTTTTTTTTTTTAAACTATTAACTGAATATTGGGTGCTCCCACCACCACCTTAAGCTCTGCCTCTTCCCTTCCCCTCACCTCTGACAATTTTATAAAAAAAGGGGAAAGAAGTCCTGTGCATGAATGGGAACAGATACTGCTATCCGACGATACAAATCACCGTTTCTAACTTCCCCGCTCACTACCCACTTTGGCTGCGGGTCGAGTGCCTCAGCAATAGGATGCTGTTAGGAAGCAACAACGCCTCGCAGCCACGCGTATACTGTTTGGACAGGTCCCCACAGCCCCACGACAACTGCAAAGAGTATCAAGCCTCTGTAGCAGAAGAGATCTTCTTTGAAGTTTTGCTAAACATCTTTATCTTAGAAAAATATAAGCTTATTATTTCAAATTTTGAACTGTAAAAGCTTGTGTTGCACCACGGGCCCTACGCTAAAGCAGGTGCTGTGGCAACACATTCAACTCAGCAGGTAAAGGAACAGAAATACTGGTGTATTTGGTGAGACATGCCCCAAAAGTGAATGTCTGGGAAAAAAACCCTACCTCTGCGGGCTATTCTGTGAAACCCTACAGTTAGCACTTCTCTGACAAGAATCGCAAATCCAAAGGAAGAACAGTACACCTTTAATTCCCCAAAGCTGGGTCTTCTTTCCTCCCTGAGGCACAAGGCTGGACCAGGGCAGAACTGGGGACCCAATTTCTGCCTGCTAAGCAGCAGCGTCAACTAAACATCCAAAAGCCCACAGATCTTTGTAGAGCTAGAGACCACTTCCAGCAGCACAAGTGATTTACTAAAGCAGCATTGCTGCCTCCAGCAAAATGAATCGGGCACTATTCCACTGATGCCCGCCAGCGAAAACTTAACTCTCTGATCGTGTTTAACATTGTGGAAAAGCAGAGCATCTAAAAAAACCAAGCAATTCACAACCCTTCCCCCAAAATGAGCATTAGCTCAGTCAACCTTAAAAGGAGCAAGTTCTCACAGCAGCTCTGGTGAATCCTCACCACGCGTCCATCTTTTTAAAAGTATGAATTTATGATGAATATTGCGTATACCTCTTCTGCAAAGCTATGTTCCAGTCTCCAATACATGCAGCTGAAATCCAAGACACCGTATCCAGGGTTTACTCACAAAAGAACGTTTGCAACTTATCTTTTGTAATTCCTTTTACAATGAGATTGCACATTATTAGACATGTGAACAATATTAACTTTTAGAGATTTTATCTGTAACACTTCGTACTCAAACTTGCATTTCACCAAGAGAATGGAGAAAAGCATCAGATAGCATTTGTTCTTTTATGTAAAGTCATCTTTGATGATAGAATATTAAACACCTTCTCCTCCCAGAGGCTTTCTCCTCCTCAGTGCATTCGCTTGCAAACCCCTGTTTCTAGAATTCACCAAGACCCAAGGTGTAAGTCTGTGACATTCCAGGGTAAAAGATGGGGTTCATTATCTTTGTCTTTCTTTCAATGCCACATTTGAGAAAGGGAAGATCTCTCTGGATATTCTCTAACACACTATATTACTCATCAAGTTTTCATTACCCATTTGAGACTCATTTCATTTGAAATACGAGAGCGAAAACATGGAGCTTTTATTAAATGTATACATAATCAATTTGAATACAAACTAAAGAATTTAGTTATGCCTGCAAAAAAGTTTAGACCAGCAATTACCCACTTTTACAATTATGTACAATAGTTTATCATAGCATCATTCAAGCTGTTTTTAGGTTGTTCCCCGTTACATATACATCGAGACCTCTGCTAAAACACTTAGAATAATCTCCTATTATTAAAAATCACTATAATCTAATGCAATTCTAATAGGCTTGCTCTAAATAAAAGAAATAAAATACATGCTGAATGTAGAGACAAAGAAAAGGAACACTGTTAATACCATAATCATGAGGAGCTTAAGGACTTAAGGAAAGTTTATGCTGGAATAATTGTTGTATCTCATAAAATAAAGTTTTCTCTTTTAATTCATTCTGCTTACTAACATAGCAATCACACAATAGTAAGCATTTAGTATCTGACTTGCAAAAACTCAAAGAAGTATCTTAGGTAAATCCTTCCACAATAAGCAGCAAGCAAAAAAGGAAATGGATGGCTACAGAGGTGGTTTTTGGGTTGGTTTTTTTTTTTTTCAGGAACTTCCTTAAACAAACAAACAAACAGATACAAGAAAATAAATGAAACAAAACCAACCAGTAAAGAAAATAAACAAAACCAACCAGCACAACAGACTTTGCGATGTGCCACTAAGCTCATAAATTCAGATTATCCCTGAAAAGCATGGCAAGGAAAGGACTGTAAGCTGAAAGAGTCCTGTCACTCGAGCAGAGAGTCCACGCTAAAAAGAAATGTCCATGACAAATGCTGCAAGAGACAAATGGTGACAGAAGGTCACTGGCAAAAGGAAAGCAGGCCTAAGATAAGAAACATAAGAAATGTGTTCACAGCAGTTTGCAATAGACCACTGGAAGGGTTCAGCTCCAAAAAGGGCTTTAATGGTACTTCCAATGAGAAGGAGGAGATGTGTGTCAGTCCAAAGGTGACAAACACTTGAGGGATTCTGAACTGTCCCACAATTAGTTCCTGGTTATTCATAAATGCAAACTGACTTCATTTGCATGTCAAATGGATGCCTCACCTGCGAAGCCAACATTTCCACGATCACATGGCTGGCTGAAGACGTTTGCATCACATTTTGCCTGATTTTACAAAAGCAGTCTGAAACCTGTTGCAAACTGAGAAAAGCAATGATATGCAATCCATCACAATCTTGATAAACTTCAGAGAAAAAGAGATTCTCCGCAAAGACAGTTAATTCTTGAATTCCCAGACTTGCAAGGTAGGATCTTAAGCAGGGCAGGACACAAATAGTTCACTTTGGGGAAGACTGCTCAGTTATGCACAGCATTAGCTTCAAGATTATTGCCAAAAGCAGCTCAAGGTGCAACACAGAGAAGGATGATATGAGCAAGACAGGCACTCCAACTTCAGACTGAAAAAAATAATTTTTTTTAAGAATAAGCCTTGAAAACGCTGAAGCGTGGTCAGACCAGACAAAGTGCGATCATGGCTGAAGAGTCACTCGCATCTTCAACAGGGCTACCGGTGTTAATTCTCTGAGAGAAAACTGAAGAGCATTAGTTCATAGAGGTCCTCCAGCCAAACACATCATGGCCCTACAGCCATGCTGGTGAAAACAAGCCACTCATATGACACCTTTTATCCTCACTCCGTCCTCGGTCAGATGCTATCCTAGGAGCTTCCAGGGACTCAGCTGATCTTGTCTTTGAAAAAAGGCTGGCAAATCCTCCATCAAATTGCTTATTCTTACCAGGATTCAGCAATCCTGATGTATAACCACCATTTACTAATAGCAGCTACGTAAGCTAGCAGCCTCTAGGAAACCCACTAAGTCAGGTCGGTGTACAACAGGCTGCTTCACCTCTTATCACCCAGGCAGATCAGTTCAGAAGGAAAGAGGGCTGGAAAGAGTCTCCCTTGCCCAGAGGGTCACAGTTGTATACAGTTCCCCAGATGAAGGCCTAACCATACATAACACTCCCAATTTTGCTTGTTATGTGATTAGGCCATGAAATATTCTATTATGCTCCTAATATAGGTGGCTGAGACGTACTGTACTCAAGCAGGTCACCCAGGTCTTTTCCTACTCTTGTTTTCAGCCAAAGATCCCTAATTTGTAACTAGCTATTAGGTGCCTTATTAGCTCAGCTCCAATTCTATTCTTTCCCTCTGATCTGCAAAACTCTTTCTACACAGGATTTATCTCCCTCTCTTCAGAAAATGCCTCCTAATATTCCGCCATCAGAAAGTTTCCTTGGCGTATTACAGGGGTTTGTGCCGAGACAATAAAATGAAAAAGTATTTTTCAAGTGGCCAAAAGAGTTCTCCTTGTGGGACTTTATTAGTAGCATCCTTCCTTTCCATTAATTTGATTTTCAAAAATGACAAACTGACAAAGCTCCTTTGCCCAGATCCTTGCCCAGCTACACTCTTGCAAGAATATCCATCTTCTCTAGCTTAACTACACATTTCCCAAGTGGCACTCCAGCAAACGCGTGCTAAGAGACCTGACAGGAAATAGAAAGACATCAGATATAATCTAAGAAAAGGTCAGTAAGCAGGTTATTCCAGTACAATCTGGTTTTGGTGAACTCGTGTTGCAAATTATCCCATTAACCATTTACCACCTTCGTATCTTGTATTATTCTTTCTAACAGCTTTTGTTGTAATGTCCAACACAGCATGGTGATGAGCTGGCTTGCAATTTTTCTCATACTCAGTCTCCCTTTTTTCAGGGCATAGTAGCCCCAAACGTCTCCCTGAACCTTCTCTCTCCCCCACCCCTCCCCTGCAGATATCTGAAAGTGTCCAACTCGCCTTCCTTCACGGCTCATGCTCCCAGGACTTTGATACAAAGCCTTTGAAGAGCTTATTGCACCTTTTGGTGAGCAAATGTAAACGCAACTGCATTCCCAGTCTCTGAACCGGGACGCTCAGGGAAGGTGTGGGTGGGAGAAGGACCCCATGGAGAGGAGTCCTTTTGCTCTCCGGTCACAGGAAATCTGCCCCAGTATCAGAGCGCCACAGCTCCTTCTCCACCCTCATCTTCCACCCAGGCAATGCTCTTCAAACCCAGGGAGAGCTTCAGTCCTGTGATCAAAAGGTTTTATTGCCCCAGAGCCGCCCAGCTGGCCATCTGATAAAAGGGATGGTTCACACCTGGGTTGGAGGGGGAGGGTAAGGGGCCATAAGGCAAGAAATAGACATACACTATGGAAGGGACAAATATAGAAAAGCAGATGCAAAAATTGCCTCACCAAAGTGAGGGTTGCCTGAGATTTAAGACCACTTGTGTTCAAACTAACATGGCACTTTTCTGTTCTTCACTTACACACTCCAAGTTGCAACTTGATGTACTTATTAAAAATCTATGTCATCCAACTGGCAGCTTCACATGCCGTGCCTTATAATTGTACGATTAGTCATCACTTGGTCCTTCTCATTTCAGCATATTAAATTCTGACTTTTGCTTCTACCCACTTATGATAATATACAGTTCCATGAATTCATTATCATTAGACAATACCTCTCTGCCCTCCGTAATACCACTTCTATAAAAACAAAAAGTATTCTGTCTGTTCTGGGTCCGTACTGAGGTGATCTTCAAGTTTGACCCCACGATTACAGAAAAATTGCCTCATTTATCTCCCATGATTGTGCATAGAGCAAATTTGGTCCAGTGTAGTTTCTGGCAGCCACCACTGACAGCTAATGTATTTCACCTGTGAGCACTTTGCATCTCGGCATGGGCAACCATGGGCATCTGCCCACCAAAGTTTTGGCCTTAAATAAAGGAAGCCTCTTCCTCAACTCCCCAGTTTGCAACCTTCTTCCTGCCATAGTTAATCACTTTACTCTTGGTCAGAGGCACCTGCACTGCTTTAAAGCTGGTGTGTGCACACAACAACCAAAAAGCTATTTGATATCCCAACAAACGAATGCTTAAGGTTACTGAGGAGCTGAGTACTGACTTTCTAGATGTCAGCTACTCCATCTACTGCACCAGCTCATGTGCCACAGCAGCTGGAAAGGACAAAGTTTTCCAGCACAGTGAAAAGGGCACGTTCTCACTTCTCTTAAATACCTGAAGACCATGAAGGACTAAAGATTTCTGTCACCATTTCTTGAGACTTTTGTGACTAACATTTCCAGGCTATTGGATAAGGCCTTGCAACAGGGTTTTCAAACCATGAGGAAGCTACGGCTTCCACATGCGCCTCCTCTACCCAGTGCACACGTGAGACAAACACAGTCATCCCCATTCCAATCGTACAGCACAACCAAGTATTTTCACTGATGCCACAAAAGCCCGAGTATCAGAAATTTGAGTAGAAGGGGACCTCCCCCTCGCCTAATACTCCCTTATTGCATACAACAGCACTCCCTTCTGCTCTGAACAAGTGAGTTCAAGGCCAAAGGGGTTTGGGAGGACCCAGAATCACGCTCCTGGCGAGTGAAGAGGACAACAGATACATGAGGACACCATTCAGACCTGAGGGCAAAAGGGGTGGCAACAGCACAGACAAGGCCCAGCCTCACCAGCATGCCCTTGAGACCCAAAGGTTCGGACATATCATAGTTCATGAGGCCCCTGCCTCCTCCAGTAATCTCGCATACTAAAAATAATACAAATCAACATAAGCAAGACATGGCTATATGAATTAGAGTGCCAGCACTGGCTAATGTATTTCCATTGCTCTAAAAAAAAGTTCTAAAAAGTGATGTTCCCAAAACACTGCTCTTCAACTTGATGTATTTCATTGGACTTGAGTAGCCAAGTAAAATTGACAGAAGAATTTTGGCTGCTCAGATTAACCATCTTTCTGCTACAGACACTGACTCTTCTCTGCTAGCTTTCTGCCAACTCCAACTCCTTCTTGTGTTTCTGTTCAGCAGCTATATAAGCACAGACTTTTTAAACTCTGCTCCGATGCTTAAGAAATTCCTTCCAGTGGCTCGCATACTTCCATTTGAATCCTGGACTTCTTAGGTGTACACTGCTGAAGTTCAGGACCAGAGGCCAGAAACTGCATGCCAGGCTGTGTGGTTACAAGCAACAGCACAGGCTTTAGTACTGATCAGAAACATATTTGACGTTACATTCATCTAAAAGCCCAGAAACAGCCACTGCCACCCAGTTTCCCACACTCATTCAGTTAAAATACTTGCAGCTTCATACCAGTTGAATCTATTTCCAGCAATGCTGCAGACCGGTTTTCTTGGCCTAAGAGCTTGCTATTTTGCCGTATTATTTGACTTCACACCCCTCTGAAAGACCATCAGGAGGATCAGTCAAATGACTTCCCGTGCCAAGAGCAGGAAGCGAAGGGCAAGGTTATGGTCAGTACAAGAACAGGACCCAAGTTCAGACGTATTTGCAGCGTTTGCTCACACAGAAAGTCAAAGCTCAGTTTCATTAGCTCAAAGACACATCCATGTACATGGGGCCTCCATATTTGACTCTTGTCAATTATCCTTCTCCTGTGAACAAATTAATTTCATGTAAGGTAGATTTGAAAGACACAGGAACAAAAATCATGGCAATAATAAGATATTTCAAAGACATCGTCTTATTCCTTCTGCTTTATTCCTGTAGACTGTCCATTTTGGATACCTTGTCCAAGCTGGAATTGAGCAGTATTGTAAATGTTTCAGTTGAAACAATTAATAATGTAATTGTTGTTGAAGGAATAGGTAGAAATAGAACCAATGGCACAGAAAAGCAAAGTGAGCATTGACTTATGTATTTGTATCAGCTCCAAGACCAACATCAGGATTTCTAACCTCCAGGTTAGAGGGCAGAAACAAATAACTTAGTATCAGAAAGACATCAAGTTGTAAGTCTCTGATTAATGTAAAATATTATGTTACTGGATGCCTCAATCTTTTGTTTTCTTGTCTGAAAGAAAGAGTCTCAAAGCAAACAAAGAGTAGAAGGAGAAAAAAAAAAAATATCCTAGGACTGCACTGTCTGTCCCTGAGGAAAAGAGCATTAACAATGTTCTCGTGTAAAGGCTCTGAGAACAGGTAAAGGAATTTGCTAGCTAATAAAAACAGAAAACACACACCTTAGGAAAAAACCTCTAGAAAACCATTTCAGTTAAAATTAACGAAGCAA